CCCAGCAATAGTTTCTTTTTGTGATCGAATAGCTTCCAAATTTCGCCATAATGATACCTATATGCTCACAAGTAATAAACAATAGCTAGAAGAAAAATTTCTCCACGGGGAAAAATTCAGGTCCGAAAGGGTTAAGTAAATGCAAACGAGCTGTTAGCTATGGAGTAAAGAATTGGGAACCCATAAAAAATGCGCACCTCTTTATTTAAAAGGTCGTGAATTTTTCAAATTGTGAAATGTGAAGAGTAGTAAGAAAACTTAGAAACTCTAGATTGTTTTCTTACTGAAAAAGGCTCAAACTTTTGTAGATTTTTGATTCTTCAAAAAGTCGTCCCGTTGGACATTTTGGGGGATTTGCGGACCGATTTTGGCAAAACGGTGGTTTTCTTGAATTTAAATCGCTATAACTTTCTTCAGTTCGAACTTTTTGCAATTCTTCACCCCTGGAAAAAACTAGAAGGTTAGAGCTTTCTAATGAATGCTTGAGCTCGTTTCCAAAATGACCCGTTCAAAAATCGTCCCGTTGGACCGTTTTTTTTTCATGAATTTTCGGAGCTACTCTCCTGAAAACACGAGTTTTCAACACTCAAACACTCACAGCTCTCTTCAAACTCAATTTTATGGGGAATAATGATACCATGACATCGCACAAGCTTTGTGCTTCATAACAGATACTAAACCCTTTTCAGGAAGTCGCCGACAGGCAAATATTTTTTCCAAACTTTTCTTGTAAGCCTTTAGCAGTCAATCTACCCAAGTGGTCACTCTTTTACTAACTTAGGTCCAGTTTGAAGACATTGGTTCTCCTCGAGAGCATATTTGTGTACGTGAACAGTCAAATATGGACACTTCTGCAGTAGACTCTTCTGCTCTGAGGTGCGCCATGCACTCGTTTGTGGTTAATAGTTGGAGAAGCACTCGAAAGTTATACCCCCTCACCTACTGTCGCGACAGCAAACGTCTTGATTCTAATTGTTTAATGCCCTGAGCCTGGAGCTTTATTCGCATCTGTGTTACGAACCATCATTCCATGCGTTGCGACCTTAACTTCTGCGAATACGATCCCCCTTTACCGTCGGCCAGATACGACCCCCCATTCGCCCGCCGTTGACCTTGATCTCAACGGACGGTTGAACGCCTGGCAGGTGATCCGAATGGCCAGGTCGGCAGTGACAGGAGAGGCCTGGAACGGTGGGATCGACCATAAGCTTGTAAGAAGATCATCGCTCACAGCTGTGAAGGACACCGGGTACTCCCAGGCGATGAACTAGCTCCGCAGCACAGGCCCCTCCTGGCAGACATTGCAATAGACCTCCCCAAGAAGACAAGGGTAAGAACCGAGAGGAGAATCCGGTGGTGGAAGCTGCACCGCGGAGAAGAGCGACCTCAGGCGAAGGATAATGGAAGTTGGTCTCCCAGATCCTGAGGGACCAGTGCAGCGGACTTGGGGCAACGCGGCTGAGATCCATCCTGATGCGCCAAGGAGGTACTGGGCGAGACGCGAGGTGGATTCAGAGGAGACAAGGCAGCGTGGTTCTGGAACGAGGAGGTCCAGCGAGTCGTGAAGCAGAAGAAGGAAGCATACAAGCGCTGGCAGAAGACCCGGAGCCCCGAGGACCTCGCTGCCTACAAGAGTTGCAAGAGGCTCGCTAAGGCTGCCGTCGCCAAGGCAAAGAACACGGAGATGGACGCCTTGTACGAGAAGTTGGAAAGCAGAAACGCAGAGAAGTTCGTCTTCAGACTGGCCAAAGCCCGGCATCGGGCTACTCAAGACATCAGGGTGGTGAAGAGTACAGCAACGACGCCATATTAAGGAAGCCCGCCAAAGTCAAAGGAGGTGGGAAGAGTACTACAGTGCACTTCTGAACGAGGAGTTCCCCCACAAGGACAGCTCACAAGCAGAGGCAACGGCTGGCCCCATCGCACTATGGACAGAGGATGAGGTTCGTCGAGAACTAGGGAAGATGAAGGTTGGGAAGGCGGTTGGTCCAGATGCCAATCGAGGCATGGAAGGCGCTCGGAGAGTACGGGATAAGGTGGCTCACCGATTCCTGAACAAGGTAACTGCGGAAGGAAGGATGCCGGATGCCTGGAGAACAAGTACTATCGTCCCCATCTTCAAGCAGAAGGGTGACGCGATGGACTGCTCCAACTACCGCGGGATCAAGTTGACTGCGCATACATGAAGCTGTACGAGCGACTGGTCGACTCGAAACTGCGGGAGCTGGTCCCGATCTCCCAGGAACAGTTCGGGTTCATGCCCGAAAGGTCTACAACGGATGCCATCTTCATCGCAAGGCAAGTGATGGAGAAGTATCGAGAAAAGCGCCGACCCTGCTACCTAGCCTTCCTCGACCTGGAGAAGGCGTTCGACCGGCTACCGCGAGCAGTACTATGGAGGCGCTCAGGGAACGGAACGTGCCAGAACACCTGATCTCTCTGGTGAAGGACATGTACGATGGGGCTAAGGCAGCTATACGCACCCGCACGCTCGAAAAAGGAGGCAGATGCCGACTGAGGGGCACCGAGGATTAGCTCTGAACCCCATCCCTACTTCCTAACACTGGATATGACACTGATTGTAATGGACTAATGGAGAAACCACTGAGGACCATCCTCTACGCTGACGACACCGCACTGATAGCAAATAGCAGAGAACTTCAGGCCCATATGCAGAAATGGCAGATAGCACTTGCAGAGGTAGGGATCGCAGTTGACCGTTGGAGAAGACGACCAAGATTCCGACAGCTTTCAGATGAGGTATAGAACCGATCGTGGACTGCCGAAAGCATCGAAAGAGTGGAGAACTTCCCATACCATGGCAGCGATAACAGCTGACAGTAGTGCGGATTAGGATTGTGAAGGCTCGGATCAATGCTGCGATGGATAACATACGAGTAAATTCCTTTGAGGTGAAACCTTCTCGACGATCGAAGTGCTCCAGAACGCTGAAAGGGAAGGTGTACCGGGCAGTGGTGAGGCCTGCGATGCTATACGGCAGCGAGTGCTGGCCCCTGAACAAGAATCACGAAAGGCAGCTCACTCCGCTGAGATGAGGATGCTTTTAATAACTTCGAGATGAGCCTGCGCTGTACTGACAGAGTCAGAAACGAGGATGTCGCTACCCCTGTCCAATTGATGCCAGAGCAATGTTTGCGATTGTATGGACATGTGCTACGGAGTGACGACGGGATCGCTCGATAATGAAAGAGATGGACCTCGAAGCACAAGGCTAGCGACCGCGAGGAATCCCTCGCCCCCCCCCCCCAAAAAAAAAAGAGGAAAGACGTGATCAAAAAGGACCAAAAGAAGTCATGGCCACAGCAGGTGATGCCTTGAAAGATTGAAGTGGCGAGGACTGACAAAGACAGCGGACCCTCTGCGACTGCGCGGGACTAACGCTAAGAAGAAGAGGAAGGAGAAGAGTTGCTAATTCTCTCTGCGTAAACCCAGACTGTTAAGCGCTTTTATGGAGGAAATCTGTCTTCCACGGGAGAAATTTTCACCTCACATCGAAATTTTTTCCATGGTACTCTTCGATCGACTGCTTGCTAACGAGGAATCAGGCTATAAACAGTTTTCAGTTGATTTTTCAGGTGCACACCGACTTTCGCCCACAAAATGCAAATCCAACACACTGTGGGGGTTCTATAAGGGGATATGGATAAACACCGTCTATGCAGGCAATGGTGATCTCCATATGTTTGTAGGCAAGTTTGACGCAAATGAGATAGATACCCATTGCATTACGATGCCCAGGAGCGTGATATACTGCAGACTTTTACATACCATAGACACAAGTAACGAGAGCCTCCACAAAATGTTAGTAAATCTCGACAACCGGAATATGGAGAGGGTAGTTCCTCTTATGAGCGGTCGTCCCGGAAGAGTAGATCTCCAGGAAATCGCATGGCATTACTATAAGGCGGTCCTCATAGAATGACAGGTCTCCGTCTCGATAGTTTCTTTGGGATGATTTCCCTACTCCTTTCAAAAGACACAGAAAAAGCGCCAGACGTGTACAGAAAGAGGCGCTTCCAAAGTAAAGAAGCATGCTTCCACGTGCGTATGCTACCTTCAAAGTTTTGTGAATGCCTCACGTGCGACAGGTCGACAGGGGACGGGATACAGGGTCCGTGTTGGCACCCCTGCGGATGAAAGTTTAGACCGGATCGATGCAGTAGGGTCATCACTGCCGGAAGCAAACATCAAGGACGGATCGATGCTATGCAAGCTTGGCCAGAGGATTTCCCATAACAACAAATTTCCACCCAGATGAAATTTTCGCTTGGGTTTCAAAAGAGTCCACATGGTAATTCTAGCTACCTCAGTAATCTATTACGACACAAGTTTGAAGAATCCGAAATTCGCACGTTCAACGGTTATTTCACCTTTCAAGTGACTCCTCAAATCTGAAAGGATATGAAGCGCACGGCTCAAATCTGAAGGGATATGAAGCGCACGGCCCACTTGGTTGCGCGCGCTTCAGCTACGGCTCTCTGAGAAAGAATCTCAATTCAGGAAAAATCAAGAGGATTCTGAAAGGGTCCGTGAAATTACAGGGAGGAGTCACTATTCAACAAGAAATGCAGCCTTCAGCGTCAAATTCATGAACATATAAGTTGAAAGTTGAGATTCGCCAAACAATTTTACACTTTTGGAAGAGAAAAGCACGTGGATTCCGAATCTGCTCCCACTTTGTACATAATCGCCCCTGAAAGGAGCTATAGTCGTTGAATAGTGTCAATGCAGCGAAAAAGTACCTTTCGGCGGTACTCGGGCAAAAATCCTCAACGTGGCCATTTTTTAAATAGTGAAATTTAGCAGTCTCAACAATTGTAGATAGAGCAAATCTTCTAGTTTATGATGACGTATTAACTTTTCAGATTGGATGAGTTTGAACGGAGTTATGGCTTTGGAAAGCGTAAAAACTCGCACTCATCACGAATTTTCCTCGTTAATTTTGCAAAAATCCTCAACGTGGCCATTTTTTGAATACTGGACGTAGCTGCTTTAGCAACCATTTGATAGAGAAAATCTTCTAGTTTATGTCGACTATTAACTTTCCAGGTGGGTTGCAGTTGTAGCTTATCGACTGCCAATAAGCATTCATCCACCATCAGCTTCACAATAAACTAATAGTTAACAGGTTTACTTGGAGGCTGTCGTCACTTGTGTTGTGGGGTCTGTGGTGCGGACTTCCTCGGGCGCTAGATACAACCAGGGTATATAGATTAACCAGCATGAACTGCCTAGTAAAAGAGTTGTAATCCTAACGAAGGCTACAAAAGCGTTTGCAAGAATTGTAAGATGGGCAGCCATTACGGTACTTTGTGTCAAGGTCATAAAATCAAAATAATGAAAGTAGCTCCAACTTGAGTAAATGAACTGAAGAGGAGAAGCACTCACTATAAAAACGATGTCGTCGCGGAAACAGCCAATACGATACATCATAGGCATTCTTATAACGAATGCAAACAGGTCGTCAATGAATGTGTTGATAAACTTGTATGTCAGCATCCTCCAAGGAAGGTGGGCCACAGATTTCAGCTTGTAGTTAATAAACAACTGTAAAATAAAGAAAAATTATCGCATCAAACACCACAACAACAATCTACTGGTTCTTTGCAGTTATTTGTGCAGTTAAAAACAATTCAAGGCTTTGACCAGAAAATTTAAAAAGTTAAAAAGACAACATTGCGTTAAGGAACCCAGAAATACCCAACCACGCAAATGTCTCGCGACACAAATACCCGGAGAGCCATAAATTGCATACCTCCAACAAGAAAGGTATTTGAAGGCCATCTGAAAACAAGAACCTATATTCATTATCATTTCCATGGTTACTTCGACTCTATTCACCAAATGCTTGGTCAGCAATTGCAAGCTCAAACTTTTTGGATCGGTTTCTGAATGCGAATTGTAAAAGGCGTTCGGGTGAGTTACAGCCCACAATCTACGTAGTTCAGAAGATTCTGATGTGATTCGGAACTCACATCGACACAAATAAAACTGAGGGTCAATCTTGGCAACGCCTAAATTTGAACTACAGAGCTTCCGCGAGAGTTTGCTGGTGAACCCACGACATGTGAGCAGGAAAAAAAACGTTTTTGCAATTTATACGCACTAGGCAGCACAGTTCAAGGTTTACTCCATCCCAGATAGGTTGAAGTTCAGCCAAATGGAATATATAGTGCATGCAGCAAGTAATTTTCTCCGCATAATTTTGCTTCCATTTCTAGCACGCGTTCTACAGTTGTATACACCGGTTTTCGTAAGTGCGTGCAATTTCACGCATCCGACAAATATGTCATTTATCTAACTAAATCTCAGCAGCGCTCCAATGATTGAGCCCCAGAGAACCTGGATGGCTACGGGTACCCAACAGGAGGCCCGTCGCGCGGCAAGAAGGCAGAGTCGGCGGACGAGTCGCAGCGCGTGATGGGTGTAGGACGTGCAATGGCACATTCTATTGACTTGACGCGAAATCATCACACTATGAAATATCTTCCCATACGAATAGGTTTGTATTCGCTTCTATTATTCCTTTTTATCAACATGTTTACGTTAATGAAAAGAAAACGAGGAATGAACTGAACAGACATATCCGTAAGGTCTGGAAAACCTCTGCCAAACTAAAGAATATTTGGCCTTTCTGTGAGCCATGTGGTTTTTAAGTATGCTAATGTATGGCCTATAGAATGAGTACAAAGACCTTAGGAATAAGTCGCGCAAGCGCAAGAAAAAGGGAAGTCTTAGGTGGGACGTCCCACGAGGTGTGAAAAGTGGGACGTGTACCGCGTGTTAAAAGGGATACGAGGCATAGCGAAAGAGGCATGCGATCAATTACAATTTCAGAAAATACTGGAATCCCACAGTGAATACGGCCATCCGCTGGCAGAAGTCCAACCTCATTGATGGCACGAGGATGTAATAAAAGTCTGAAATGTATAAAAACAAAAATCTTAGAAGTGTTGCACTTACATTATCATACGTCTTCGTCATGCTTTCTACATAGGATCCTTTATCAGTGATCTTGATTCTAGGGATTACACCTAGCCATTTGTGAGTAGGATCGACCTAAAATAAAAAGACTTTGTATTTTGCTATGCTTGGGCACAGTCACAAACGTTAACCAAGAGGGAGTAAAATCCATGTTCTGTGGACAAAGCTGGGATAAGCGTCTATTGAGAAATCCGCTACACTACTAAAGGCAAATTCCACGAAAGGTTGATGAAGCAAGCCCTTGCGTAAGAAGGATAAAATGGTCCGAGAGTCTAGCTCACAATCTGTACCGACGTTGCGGCTCATATTTCTGAGAAACGCTAAGGACCATGGATGCACATGCGGCTCCTTCCACTACCGTAGTTATGGCGCCAGGAATCGGTGCAACTGCAAAGATTGAATGTGAATAGAGGGCTCCATTTTGAAGACTTTTGACGTTTTTTTCTAGTTTCTTTCTTCGACGATGATCCACCTCGCACTCCTTTTTTCTTTTTCGATGAACAACCAACGCAAAAGAATCTATCGACCCTTAGGGTTAATAGGGTGGCAAGTGCATCGGTTTCAGAAAATGAAAAGAAGGGAGGCGGCATTCGCAAACACATGGGGAACACAATGAAGCTGCTATTGGTTTATTGGCACCACAAACGAATGAGATTTAGTTTCTCGCAACGACATGATACTCGACATAAGTTTTTCTCTAACACTTGCCACGCAATCTATAAGGTATCCTTTATCATCCTTTCAGTGCAAACAGCGAACAGTTTATGTAAACTGTTCATTTCCAGCAACACTGTGGAAACCGTCGTCACTTGTGTTGTTTGGTCTGCACTGCAGACGCATCTGACTCACGGACACAAGAGTACAATATTGCTTAAAGTAATGAAAGACCGCTAAAAGCCTGATAACCAAAATGAAGTGTACACCGCCTTGCCACCGCAACTCCCCGCCTAGGCTGAATACACTACTACGATTGCGATGCGATTCACACGCACAACACAACCCCGTAATAACTTGAACACCAAGCGCTTCATTTACTACTAACGTAGACATGATTCTCTCCTATTCCGAGTCGGGGCATCTGTTTAATGCAGGTAGCTCGCCGCCAAGCTTATGATCGCAGCTTCAGCTGAACAAGAAACTTATATTCTCACATTCGCCAGCCGACTTTAAGACGCTGCATGACTAGCTGATCTTTCATAACCGTATTTGATGTGGAACGATTAACTTAGGAATCAGGAAGTCAGCATCTATAGACAGCCTTCTTGAGTCGAAACAACGTAGGGCCAGTCTCAACTAGGACTCAAACGGACAGAATGGGCGAGAAATAAGTACAACATAGTTGAGAAAATAGAGCACAACTCGGTACAGATTTCATGAGCGCACGGGTAATATCGTTCCGTTTTGGTCGTCAACGAGGAAGGAGGGAGGGGGGAGAGGGTATATCTGCACAGCTAGCAATACCACAACTACCGATCGCTGAACAAAGCCCAGCCTCACCCAATACAATCCAGTAGCAATTCCTACTGATGCCTATTAAACTATTGCATAACGAACGGTACTAGGCCGTTATTCGCACACAACAGCACTTCAAATAAAGATGTTAAGATTCACCTCGAGATTGAGTACTTTTGGCAGCTTCCAGCATTCAATAAGAAACCCTACTCCGACACTGATCTTGACAACCCAGTTCGTATCGTTGTCGCATATGTAGAGGAAAACGATAAGTGACTAAAGCAAGTTATATAAGAAATGAAAAAGAAAAACTGAGCAAGAGAATGATTGAACAAACCTGGAAAATGTTGAAAAGCACTGATCGAACGGAAAGGCCCACTAAATCTTTTCGCGAACGCCAGAATTGAATATCATTTTTGAAAGCCAAGAGTTCGAACACGGTGTGCAGTAATGACACAAATACCGTCACACCTTAAATGATACACTTCGCTCAACAGAAAAGTCCAGCAATAAAAGAAGTTTCTTTTTGAACGGTTTTTTGCACGTTCTCTAGGAAGAAGGCACACACAAAGAGTGAAGGTGGAGCTTCTCTCACGTAGAAAATCAAAAAAAATTCTGGAAAGAAATTCAACTCGTCTTAAGCGCTTTGCGACATGAACATAAGCTTTAACGGAACATACTAGAGTTTCCTCAGTGTTCCGTTCTGATTGGATTATTACTCAGGTTTTGATAGTATGCATTCTAACATTCCCTGTCCCAACTTCAACATGCATAAAACCGCTGTGAAGAAAAAGTTTTTCATGAGTTGGGCCTAATTAGAAACTCGCGAATTGCCCGACTCGGCGATTACGCTGGGAGGAAAAGCATGCATATCGACCTAAAAAATCAACGAATATCGATTTGGCGATTCAGCAACGCGCAGAGGACTAGCTGCATATCGATCGGACCGACCACGCCCCGTAAGCGTTCGTGGATGCGGTTCGTCGGCGACAGTTGATACTGATACGTATGCATTCCTTTTAGCATAAATCGCCATTTTGCCGAATAGTCACATCGAGCAGGTCGCGAGGTATGAACGGGGCCTCACAGGACCTTTGCGTAAAAAAAACATTAGCTTGCCTACCTAAAACAATAGGATTTGTTTCCAGAAGCGCTTGTTTTATGGCGTCTTGGTCGTCCTCCTCTTGATCGTTCCCTAACATCGATGACCACTTGTTGCGCGTCTGATAAATAAAAATGAAGTAAAACAAAATTGTGGTTGCCTACCGCCGAGTAATTTTTGAAATGAGAAAAAATACCTGTTGGCTTGCATACAACTGGTACTTGAAAAGCGACAGTGGTTGGTAGCTTATTCGCAAAGTTATCTCCTTAAATGAAAGTTTACGATAAGATTTCAATGTCAACTTCAAGATCATGAAATGTTTGGCGTGATTTTCACTAAAACTATGTTACACAAGGTGTAGCTCGGAAAAAACATCTTATAACTGTAACACATAAAGATAAAGTGTTCTGTACTGATCGCATGATATCATACCATAGGCTTACAGACAGATTACTACCACTTTCGTGCCTGGCTTCAGATGCAACAATTAGTTGTTTTTAAACACACTCGAGATTTTTCAAAAGTCAGTTTCTAAGAACTCAGCACAACGCGGCCTCGAAAATATCGGAGAGCACATCAGCACCAAAATAATAGTCACCAATAGACGATCCCAAGGTGTGGCCAAAGGGAGGTGGAAGGGTTCTGGAAGTTAGATTGAGTGCTACAAGAGTTTTTGATGGACATGGTCATGGGGTGTGGGCGCAGCGGACTTTTCAGTTAAGTTGCTTTTCCTTGTTAAAATGGATCAGCTACATCGCTGATGCACGGTAGAAGAGGAATAGCTGGTACTCCGCATTTGTCACTTGTCACGTATTACAAGTCATTTTACATCATCATGTAGCA